CCCCGTGTCCCCGTCCCCCCGCACGTGGGTGCCTTCGCGACCAGAACTCCGCACCCGCAGTTCTCAGACTCACAGCTTCCGGTCGCAGACCCCAGACGCGCCTTCTGCCCGCTGTCTCTCCCGAGGTCGCCCGCTCGCCCTCCCTTCTCCCTGGCCGTTCCTCGTGCTGGGCGTCATGGCCGCGTGGGCGAGCTGTGCTCCAGAAGGTTCGGGCGTCAGGCCCTGCCTGTCGGACTTTAAGGCCGCCGTTCCGCCGTTGTCTCCACAGAGCCTTCCTCGGCCGCTAACGCCTGTCTCCCTCCCCCGCAGGTGTCAAAGCCGTGTTCTCGGGTCACTACCACCGGAACGCGGGGGGCACCTACCGGGACCTCGACATGGTGGTGTCGTCCGCCATCGGGTGCCAGCTGGGCCAGGACACCCACGGGCTCCGCGTGGTGGTGGTCACCGCGGAGAAGATCGTCCACCGCTACTACAGCTTAGACGAGCTGAGCGAGCGGGGGATCGACAGCGACCTCCTGGATCTGATGAAGGAAACATGAGGCCTCCGCGCCCGTCACTTCTCGGCCACTGTGGTTTTCGTTTTGCCAGAGCGGCAGCTGCGCACAACCCCCTTCTGGAGATGCGGGCGCGCCCCGGGCTGACCCGGGTTGAGCCTCGGGCGAATCAGAGTCGGGGCGCTCCTCACCTGTATTCAGAGTAGCGCGGCCGCCCTCCCTTCAGATCAGAGGGAAGGGAAACCAGGAAAGAGGAATAAACGGTACTGGAACGTCTCTGCGGGGTGCCTGACTCAGTTCTCCCGTCGGTGTGTTGGGGCCGCCTTTGCATCCGGGTGTTCTCTGGGGTGTGCTGGGCGGGCTCTCAGCCTGATACCCCCTGGAGTGATCATCTCTGCAGCCACCGCATCTCATTGTACCAGATGGTGTCTCGGCGCCTAAATCATGTTTGCCAGACACACGAAGGTCCTCTCCTGCTTAACACTGTCCCCCAACACCACCCCATGGAGACATTTTAGCCAGGAGCTGAGCGGCCCACATCTGCTCTTAATTCCGAGACGTCTGTCCCTGGCAGTGATGCGGCCGATACAGCCAAAGCTCGCTCTGGCCTTCTTGGTGATGAGAAAAATCTCCTTTGCACGTAAATTGGCCACATATAAAAATTGCACCCAAGAGGCTAGACCCCTGCAGCCGGCCTCTGCATGCCCTGACTGCACGCCGAGCTTCCCACACCGCCCACGGGGTGCCCTGCCCTTCCCCAGACCCCCTGTGTCTGCTTTGAGGAGCAGCGGCCTCCCTCGGGGCACCGCCCTCGAGAAACAAAGCTGAAATTCTAATGGCGCATTATCTAAATTGGCACCAACTGTGGTTAAACTCGCCAGTGCAGTAGCCCTTGACGGTTTAAAATCAGCACTGTTCGTGTGCTGTCTGCTCCGCTGCGTCTTCCTGCAGCTCCCGGCCCAGCATAATCTCGCCCACACGGTCATTCACAGCAGCTGTCCTCGACAACCGGGAGCCAGGTACCCCCAGTCCAGCCAGGGAAATGTCACCGCAGTTTATGGTAGATTTGTCATCCTGAGACAACTCTCAGGACCGACTGGTTACAGATGAACCGCTCCGTCCAGCCGTGGGAGAAGTCGCAGGCAGTGTAGCAAAACCCAGAGATTAAGTAGAAAGATAATTGGAGATGTCCATTCATGAGGCACAGAAGAAAAGCAGCTGATTATGCTGCCGAGCAGGGACACACCGTAGCTGCTTGCACGGCCCAAGAAGATTAAAATTTGTCAAAATGACAATATTCCTGTTCACTAGTTTGCTGCATCCTTGCTTTGTCTTGGTTTTTCTTTTTTTAAAAGATGTGTTTACTTATGCACACAGAACTGGGGAACCAGGCCACAGGTTCAGGGGGTGAGAGGACTCCGCAGAGACAGAGTGGGGAGCAGAGCAGGCAGACTGACGAAGTCCACTGCTGAGGGAGCAGCGGGAAGACAGGAGAGGTCTGCCGCGCCAGGTGGGTCACTCCCTGGGCGGGGAGGTGTGTGAAGTAGCTGCGGCCGGCTTCGTAGCGCTGCGCTTTAACCCGTTACGCCACCAGGGAGGGCCCAGCCTTGGTTTTTCTTTGCCACCAGGTGTGGGTATCAGAGGCCAAGAAGGGGAACCCAGGGAGCTGAAGACTTGCAGCATTAGATGCCCGGATGGTAATGGGTGTGGGGGTCTGCTCCCAGCCTGCTCTGGCAAGGGTCTCCCCTCGACCTCCCCCTTTAATTTGTCATTTTAGGGGGACAATGAGGACCCCTGCAGGAAGGTCATTTAAAGTGACCTACGCTGAGGTCTCAAGGCCCGGAGGGTCTGTCGACGGGGTGGGAGAGGCTCTCCTGGCTGCATTCACCCTCTGCAGTAAGTAAAGTCACCCAGGTCTTCGGCTTCGCTGGAGAACAGGGTGGCGGGGCGGGGCAGCGGACGGTGGTGGGGAGCAGCAGGAAATCCAGCAATTGTATGGAACCGGCAAACAGGACATTTCCTAATATCTCATGGACAACAGGCGTCCTGGAGAGAGTGACGAGTTTTAAGCTCAAGTAATCGCGCTCCGACCATTTCCCCATGCACAGAGGCTGGTCACCAAAGGCAGCGCTGCCGGGCCGGCTTCATGTTGGCATCTTTTGAGAAGAGGCAGCAGAAACAACATTTGCATGTACTTAAACTCTTACTGTGTATTTCCCAAGAAACACCTAAGACAGCTCTGTGCACTCGTGAAACCGAGTGGCCGTATCTTACTGAGCTGGGGCGGGCGGAGATCTGGGGATGCACAGGCAGGCAGGTTCTGAGAACCCGAGCAGGCGCTGGGGGTTTGTGCTCAGATAACTCAGCCGCTGGGGCTGCACCAGCGTGAGGCGGTATCTGACAGGTAATGCTGATGTTTTTCTACCTTCATAAAAGTCTGCCTTCTGCAATCAGAGCTCTTTTCTTGGAATAAATGATTTCTATGATTTTTTTTGGCTAACTAAATCTTATCTTTCCTCCAATGGACTTTTATTCCCACTGTATCTTTTTTTAACATGAGTGACTTTTCAAACTCACGACTATGTATAGATGGAATTTTTTCCTTTAGGTTTTATCTCACTGAATGAAATTGAAAGTGAACAATTACAAGTTACTTTCACTATTGTGTTTGGACACCCTGCCTTTGAAAGGTCATTTTCTTCGTGAAAAGAACTTTGCTGCTCCCTCAGAATACAGCAGAAATTCGCTGTGTCCCCAGGCAGGCCGTGTGGATACACCAGACTTTTAAGGGGAGCAGGTCAGGGGGTGCACCCCCAAGCTGTGTAAATGACTCTGTCTTCGGAGCTTTCATGGAGAAATTAAATGGTTTTTCCCCCATCACATCTTGGAAAGATTCTGGGTTATCTTTCCTGTTTTCTTTTTGTAACGTACCGAGCCAGTCACACTTTTCAGCTGTCAGATCCCGAGAAGCCACCCGGCTGGAAGGCACTGACCTTCCATGCTGGCCCATGACGCCTGCTCCCAGCCTGTGGCCGTAGGATCACCGTCTCGCTGGACGCTGTCCTCATCGCGGGCCAGGCCTGTGACTCCCGCCTGGTGTGCTCCCCTCAGCGAGCCTTCCGCACCCGCCGTCCCTCCCCAGTCGTCGCCCACCCAGCGACCTTCCTGGGGAGACGGCACAGCCCACCCCGAAGGCCAGCGGCCTTGGGCATGACAAGACCGATCACCCACGCACTGGTGTCCCTGGTCCCGGCAGCCTTCCCTGCCCAGGCCAAGCAGAAACACCCACCATCACCACCCCCGCCCCACCCCAACCCCAACCCCCACCCCCGCCCTGGAAAGCAAAAACACCCACAACCAGAACACCATCAATTCCCACATAAGCCATTCTAGGAGGTGGTGTAGACTTCCAAGTCTTAGACACCAAAGGCCCGCTGGCCGGCGTGGTGACGGCCCAGAGGGGGCGCAGACGCCATTTCCACAGCTCACCTCACGCACTGCCCCCTGCTCTCCTCGCTAGGGGGGCGCTTCCAGCCCACGCCCCTTTCTCTCCACCCGGCTCTGCACCAGCTTTCTGCCTGCAGCCTCCCACCCGGATGCTGCCCTCAACGGCAGTCGCCTGCACTCCCACCCCCGCCAAACAATCTCCAAACGGCGGGTGCTCTGCTGGGTTGGACCCTTCTCTAGACAGGGAGCAACTCGGGGTGCAGGAGATCGCACTGGGGGCTCTGCCCATCCATTCCCCAAGCGCAGGGCTGGCTGGAAGGCCCAGATGACTTGTTGAGTCATCTGACCGGCGCCACTGCGGAGAGGAAGGCGGTGTGGGATGCACCCCAAAGAGATGGTGCCTGGACAGGACCCGGGCCGCCAACAAGTTAGTGATGAGGCCGGGCAGGGTTCCAGGCAGAGGGGCAGCACGCCAGGGGCCACAGCCGAGGGCTGCAGGGAGCCGGTGCTCACAGCCACTCGGCGCAGGGAGTGATCAGGGCCGTGGGGCCCCGGCCAGTGAGGACCGCAGGGAGGGTCGGTCCCACGCAGCCACACGCCGTCCTCGCTGAGGTCATCTCTGAGCTGGGCCTCTCCGACCCGCCGGCTCGGCCAGGCATCTTCTTTTCAGACCCAGCTCTAGTCTCGCCCCCTCCAGAAAGCCCTCCGTGACTGCCTCGCTCACACGGCCAGCCCGGCACTGGCCCGCGGCCGCTGACTGCAGCTGAGAGCCGTCGTGGCAAGCACAGTCCTCTCCGGGGTGTGTGCCCAAGGACAGGCATAGCTGCTCCAGACCGAGGTCTACGTGTTTTCACAAGCCAAGGCGTCCCCTGCAGTCAGCGTCAGTGAGGGGAGGCCGCGTGGGGAGACGCTTTCCGTGGGAGGCGACAGGGAGGCGACAGTCCACTCTCCCCTTGGCCGGCAGCACCCTGGGGGCTCTTGCCTTTATCAGTAATGTGGGAACCAGGCAGCGCCCCCCACCCCCCGCACAGCCCGGCCCCACGAGAGATGGCCACCGTGGACACTCGAGGTGAGCGGGACCCGCTGGGCTGCAGGAAGAGGCAGCTGTGTGGCCAGTCACCTCTGACTACCGTGTTCGAACCCACTGAGTGCCAGCCACACCCTCCCTGTGGTCCAGGTGAGGAAACTGAGGCCCCGAGGCACTAAGGAAGCCTCCCAAGTCCACACAGCGCGGCAGTGGCAGAGTTGGGGTGCACACCAGGCGGCGGGGCTCTGAACCCACGACCCCCACACTGCCTGTCTCTGCCCTGCCTCTGTCAGTGGGAGGGATTGAAACAACACGGGTCCCCCCCAAACGGTGAGTGTCGCCCACGTGTCCACCGGGACCTGCCTCCCCACCCCTGTCCCCATGGAGGTCTCTGCAGACCGGAAAGCATGCTGCTCCTGCCCCGGAACGGTCTCCTCTGACAAACCAAGTCAAGTTCGTCTGATGAGTCAATGCAGGTAAGTTTCCTTTTTTCCTTCTTCTTCTCCAGAGAATCCTGGCAGAAGTCAGGAGATGCCCGCACAGGGCCCCAGACCACTTCCCACACCCCGCAGAGACCCCGCTCTCCGGCACCGGGCCTGCCCCCCATCGTGGCCGGCGGGGTAGAAAGGCTGCTGTCCCGTCTAATTAGCCCGGCCCCGGCCCCGGCCCCGGCCCCGTCTGGCTGGTGCGTGTGGATGGAGCTTTCACAGGGAGCCGCTTCATGAACGCGCTCTCCCAGGGAGATGCTCTAATTATCGCTCAAGAAAACAAGCTTTTTGACGTTGTGTAGACAGTTGGGCAACAGCTCCCCGACAGGGCTGGTAATTGTAATGCCTTTTTGGGGACTCAGTGGGGTCTCTGAAGTTGCCGCACCAGAGGCCTGGGCACCGGGGACGAGCAGCTCCTTGCTGCTGTCCCCCAGCACGCCTTGTCGACCCTGGCTCCGGGGCGGGTCCTTCCTGGGCTCTAAAACCAGCGATGTGCCCTGGAATAAAGTCGCCAAGCATCAGAAATTCTGCTGAAACCACCGATAGAGTCACCGTGCCCCTGGGAACCCCTTACTGCCATCAAGTCAAACCCAGCAGAAGGGAACACGGTCCAAACCCTAAAGGCTTAGAACGGACACACGTGTTCATCGACACAGGTCAATGTCACGTGACGCTTTTATGTGAAAAAGGAAGGGGCGCGGGGCTCATGGGGCTCCCCAGTGGCGGCACAAAGTTCATTACAGCCGGGGCCAGACTCTTGTGGCCCCTGGCTGCGCCTTCCAGGGAATCTGGGGCAGCTGCCACGCCATCAGAGGTCAGAGGGGCGCCCTCCGCTTCTCTGTGGAGTTCGCCTTTACCCTCCGCCATAACCACACGTCTCCAGCCTCTCTGAGCTCTGACTAGCACCCCCACCCCCGGCCAAGCAGGGCCTCGCCTGGCCGGCAGCGTCCTCTCCACACACCCCTCACCGGCGCCCACCAGGGGGGCCGGGGTGTGCCAGGGTCCCGGGCCCAGACCCGGCACCTCCGCTGCCTGTCGCCAGTGTCCATCGCAGGGTCTCAGCCACCTGCTGTGTGCTGGGCGACACCCCAGGGACCCTTCTCTGAAACCTACCGCTTTGGGGCTTTGCCAACAGCCCTCCTGCTCACCCCAAATCTAAGCTAGCACTCATCGGGGTGTCTTAGCGGACATGGGAACCGCCCGCTGGCCACTGACTTGTCCTGCCTGAACCCACGCTGCTTCCCTGACTCCCGATTCTACGCTGGAGGCCCCCCCACTTTGGCTTCTGCTCTTTGGGCGGTCCCACTCCTGGGCCATGCATGGACAGGTGTGCGTGGACAGGCCGGTGCCCTAGGTGGGGTGCAGGGCAGCGCTGTGTGACCCGGTCAGACCCAGGAGGCTCCCCTGGGAC